AGTACAATTTTCGAGTTCACGCCACGTAACGAGAAAACCCGTGGACCGTACCAAACTGTGGTAGTGCAATGGATTTTCCAGTTTTATTGTAAGGAGCATACATGCTCCTGGGAAAAATATATCTTCCCCATGTTCGTGCAGAATCACTATAACAGAAACGTATTATGTGGAAGTATATCTCGATGGCTATCAACATCCTATGATTGTTTTATTTCAACAATCTTTCACCTATCACGAATCACGTAGTATCGTGAAGAAAGTAATTATAATCATCGCAAAAAGTACACAATAACAAGGTAACAATTTTAGAAAACCACGTGCCTAATATCTGTTTAAAATATTAAAGTAATTTTCATTCATTTAATTTCATCTCTAATTTTTTTCCAACGATTTCAAAAATTAATATTTTTGTGTTAAAATATATATACTATAAATAAATTAACGAATGATTTCGTATAATTTGAAAATAAATAGTCACTTTTATTGATCATTTAATTAAATTGATTGTTCCTAGTTCATCGAATGATTTAGTGATAACGTTTAATGAGTTATAGATAGATCGCATGTTATATTAGAAGAGGAACAAGCGAACATCAATGATAATAAACAAGAAAGAAGAAAGTTTGCTTTTACTTTACTATGGTAAACTGTAAATTAATCCCCTACCTTACAATATCGTGTCGGACTCATGGCAAAAATTTCAAACACAATTTAACAAATATAAATATCATTTAATTCTTTCAAATCCAAATTAAATACTATATTTCTATTATCAGTTATAATACTTTAAAGTAAACATGGACATAGAATGAGCATGAAATTCTTTTTTCGAACGTAGTTAAAAAGTTAAAATGTAGATTTAAAATATAAAGTATTACGTATTGTGCCTTTGTGATATACATTGTACAGCGAAAATAACCAGCATATTATATGCTATTAAAATCAGCGGTAAAAGAGGTGATCATAGGTATAACCAACATCAAGATCAGAAACTTTGAACATTAACATTAATCTGCCTCTTCTTCTGGGCAATTTTCCTCGCATATGTATTTATAACGATTACTTATAAAACGATCAATGAAAATGAAATCATTCATTTTTTTAAATTGAAGAAGTTATCAGTGACATGTCATTACACGTTTATTCAGCTTGATTATATTCGACAGTCTTATTTTCAAGTATCGTCTTGGGATATTAATATTGAACTTCTTTCGACTGGATTCTTATATCTTATATTTACCAAGGGAATAACGTTGATTTATTGGAAACTTCTAAAAAAGGTGCAATGAAAAATATGGAAGTTAAATTTTTACTACTGTCATAATAATGAAATATAGTAAAGTATAAATAAATTAAGAATATTCTAATGAAGATAACACAATTATATTATTGACAAAGGTCAACGTTTGTTGTAAAGTTATTCTTTTTAACTTAAAAGAACTTTAAATTTGAAACATTTCTGCGAAAAAAGATTAATTTTATCTAATTTTCTATACTAGAGACTCACTGAAATTGAAAGGTTTATTAGGAAATTAATGATAGCTATTGTACATACAGAAGAAGAATTAATCTACAGCAATGAGGTGGAATCTATATACATTTCCTATAGATACTTAAAACAAAAATCTGTCGGTTTCCATAATTTTCCTCCGTGATATCAAACCTATATAAAGAGCAAATAAATCACAATTATAGGAGAAAAGAGGCTATCCTGGAAATGGCAAATACTTAAATACTCGTTAGGATTTAACGGGGAAATCATGATTACCCTTAATTGTACGTGTAAACAAATCTATCCATATTCATCAAATTCTTATGATTTTACGATATTTCATGAACAGTAACATAATTTCTAAATGAACTTCTATTAGTTGCAAACAATTTTAAATGACATTCCGTTGATACGTTTATTTCCGCATCAAAACATCATAGCGGTCTATTATTTAATTTTTTTACATTTCTTAACTAATACCTCTTCAAACAGCTTGTAATCTTCCTCGGAAATGCTCCCTTAGTTCTCAATGCGCAGTCTTACGTTTTCATCTGATTAGAGACCGCAGTTTTTAATTGTATTATGGAAACCCGTTGCTAGAAGTATTGAAGAATTATAAGTACACTATAATTTCCTGTTTCTAAAAATAAAATGAAACAAAGCGAGACAAGTTAATAAGATATTTTCTATACCTATATCTATATCATAATTAATTTTATTTTTGTGTATCATAATAGTGAACATAATGGCGTATCTTTGAAACATATGAAATATATATATTATTAATACACCATTCAAAAGAAAATGTTACAAATATTAAGTTGCGAATAAAATAAAAATCACAATGAATTTAATTAAACTGTGTAATATATTGAATTATAGTTCAATTCGATGGCAAATATTAGTATGCAAACTGTGTACAGCCGGACATATGCACTCAGAATTTATAAGTATTGTATATACAGTGTACGTCCATGTTCAAAATCAACAGGTTTGAATATTACTGGAAATGCATTCGATACATAGTGAGCGCGAAATAATTACGTCCACAGTTTCGGAGTTTGTTTGAATAATTAATTTGCTCATTGCAAATTTCAAGAATTACTGATTCCATGTACTTTGCAGATACACGTGGTTATGAGAATTCATTAAACCATTCGAAGTACTTATTAAAATGATGCTTCCATATCGAATTAACAAACAGTATTTATTACGTAGAAATTTATTAAATATACGTATGTATCAAGTATAAATTGAAATATATTCAACTTGCCCTATATTACAAATATTTATGAAAATAAAAATTTGTCTGATATTTCATACTTATTGATAAGTGAACGTGTGGTTAAACTGTACTCTTGGCTGCTATCATTACTATGCACAAAGTGATAATTCGAAAAACAAGTTTGCTACAAACGATATTTTCTACTAATTGTGAAACCAATATTCATCTGACTCATTGCTAGAAAAAATTATAAAAGAATTATTAATTAAAATTTTTGTTCTAAGAAACATTGGAATGTAAAAAAATGTTAACATAAAATCTTAATTAAAACTATAAAATCGTATTAATAATAATCAATGAACTATCAATGATAAAATAGCATTATTTTTTCAATGCAATCAAATAATGCGACGGTTGTTGACGTGAATTCACGTCTTTTCAAATATAATTTTCAAAATATTTTACTCTTCTGCTCTTTTCTATTTGCGAGTCCTTTAACGTGAAGTCCTTCATTTTTATAAACGACAGAGCGTTACAAAACTAATATTTCAAACTTTCTCATTTCTCTCTCTATTTTAATTCTTTGCACTCGATGTTTTTTTAGAATCGTTAAGTGTAAACTTGTATTTATTTTTAGGGAAATGAATTAAAGTAATTTACAGTGGTAGAATTCAACGTTTTATATTTATTTGATTTATTATTATTATTATTATTATTATAAGACTTAATTTTTATAACCGTTTAAAGCGTGCTACTTTTCAAAGCACCACAAATGAAGTATAACAAATTTGTATCATCATCTCCAGCATGAGATACAAGTGCTATGGGTTAATCAGAAATTAGTTCATCAGAAGTTTACTGCAAGGAACTTAAGGTTATTCTCCATTTTCACTAGGGGTGAGTATTAGAAACCCGAAAAATTTATCGATCGCGAATGTGTAACCCTTTTGCGCTCTTGTGTCCAGAGAGACTGGATTAAATTTCATTCCAGTAGCTTTGTGTTTTACTATATTTCATTCATATTTATTAGTTATATTATACTCATGCAATATAAATTATGTAACTTAGCGTTTCTCAAATGTTCTCAAATAGATTATTAAAGCAAAATATTGAATTATAATTGAGTAAAGTAACCCTGTTGTAAATTCTCGATCGAATCACCGAATCACACTTCGGATCGCAAAAGGTCGCACGCCTCAAAATTATTAAATCGCGTAATATGAAATATCAGGTGTTTCTTACTCATAAATGTTTGTACACCTCTTGGTTTTATTCCTTTGTTTTTCATACAACCCTTTAAACAGTTTCATTGTCGATTATCAAAGCAATTTTTGCAAAAACCTTTTTCGAATGATGCATAATAATTATTTCTTGCATCGTTTCTTGTAAACATGGATACCGCAAACGTGTAATTCCCTCATATGAATTCAAACTTGGAAATACTGCTGCAAAAACCACTGCAAATATAAACAAAGCATTTAGTGGCAATACTGTGAACGAAAGAACAGTGAAGCGTTGATTTGCAAAATTTCGTTTCAGTGATGTTCCCTTGCAAAATGAACCGGGTGATAAACCAGCAAATTAATAGGTTATAATGATATCTTTAGTATTAATGACTTTATATCCTCGAAATAGAATCCACTAATATTGAATACAATATTAACATATTCGCCACAAACGTTTATTTCGGTGACGGTCTTCTCAATTATAATATTTCATTCAAACCAATAAATCTTCTAAACAAAATATTGAAAAAATGAAACTGAAACAAGTCATTGAGCTCATATATATATATATATGTTATAACGTTGTTGTTTATAACTTTAAATAACAATATCTATACGATTAATTTAATTTTCTTTATGTAAAATATGAAATTGCGGCCGTCAAAAACATGTGACACCGATAGTTAACATGTTAATTATAAAACCTAAACATATAATTTTAATTAGCAGTATACAACGTTCGAAAACATCCAATATTTATAATTTTTCAAAAGAGGAATATATTCATTAGAAACACGTTAACAGAAGTGTATCGAATCGAATGGAGCATATCTTCATTACATAAACGTCTCTCGGAGCATCAAACAAGGTTTCCTTTTTCCAGGGAAATCCAACATTCCATATTACACTATCTAATATTTTCTGTTGTCACTTTTGTTCGAATAAGTTGTCACCGGAGTCCGGTGATCGGCAAGCGGGCCTGACTCGCGGCGCAACGCGCGTGCGCGGACGCGTAGCTACGCAAGAATCCGCTGTACTGATTGGTAAACGTCGAGACGCTCCGAAACAGCACGCTTACGTGCACCGTTCGCGTCGTCAGTCTCGCGGCGAGCGTCGTACAGTGCGTGTTGTCGTTCGTTTTAATGGTGGAGAGGTTGTTCCGTGTTCCCGCAGCGTTGAAACCAAATATTTCCGCGGATTCGAAAACCAAGCGACGGGTGTGCGTGACAGCCGAGAAGTTAGTGACACTTCCGGCGGGAAGGTATCGACGACGCGTCGGTAAACCGTTTGCATTCGTCGATCACGAGTATTCGAAGGTTAGCATCATTCCAGTTTTTGTAGCCGCGAACGTTTCCGAGCCGTGAAAAATTGTCGTGTAATTCGACGCGATTACTGACGCTCGTTTCTCACTTTTTTTTTCTTCTCCTGGCCCATTCTATTCTCCCAAGTGAAAAATATTCTTCTTTATCGCGGGAGATTTTTTATCGGTGAAATTTTGATACCTTTTGACGTATTCTCGTCTGCACTCGAGAGGTTGACCGCGTTGTTTGTCCCGGAAGTAGAAAATGACATTTAAAGAAATTTTCCACGACGATGGAAATGATAATCTTATCGGAATTTTGGATGTTTTGAAATGTTATTGCTGGTTAAAATGTGTGTTCGGTTTATAATTAACGAAGCTGGGGAATGTTATCTTTTATTTTATATTGTATTCGATGACAGTGGATTGTATTTCAGGGATGTAATGTCATTAATCGTATTACAAATCTGATGACGTTAATAGTATGTAAATATAATGAGATGAAATAACACTAATCCCATTAAAAATTCATTTTAATTATTTGTTTGACATCTGTCAATATTTTTGTAAGTTTTCAAAGCGTTTGGCATTCTCTATTTATTCTATAACTTTTTAGCAACCTTTCTCGTTATCATCGTAACCATAACGCTGCAATTTTGTTCACCTTTATTATTTCCATGTTAATCTCTCGTTATGCACAAGCGCTAACATAAATAAATATTATCACTGAAATATAATCCTATACAAATTTCAGTGTGGAACGGCCGTTTATTATTTCATCACTTATGTAGTCTAGTTTTGTATTTTCAATCGGTAATAACAATAATAAGAATAATTATTATTATTATTATTATCATTACAATAATCATAGTAATCATAATTGTAATAATCTTGAGATTCTTTGAACATTATTATAAAATTATTATGGAATAGAATTTAGAGAAAAAATTGGAAGCAGTCTCGTTAGCATTTGAGGACATTTAGCATCCCTCAGCAGGAGTCTGGACGACGCCACTTCCTTCTATAGGAGTTGTTAGTTTGAAATTCAACGCTTGGTTACTCAGACGAGTACGATTGACAATCAGCCGTGCAATTCCGTTCAATTCAGCCAACGGTCGCGACAAATTTCTCCAATAATTAAACTCTTTGTTTGTCGAATTGCTCTGAATATTCCCACCATCGTAATTCGCGATGTACTTGTACACATCTGCTTACCGATGTCTCTTAGAATTTCGTATCATCTTCACTTTTAACCCCTTGCTCTACAGTTTATTTCTCAACTATGATCGATACACCTACTTTGTGATGAATAATTTATCGAGAAGAAGAAACTAATTCTAGGCATATTCCATATTCAGGACTGCTCTAAAATATAACAATTATAAACAGAAGAATAATATTTAATTTATATTGAAGAGAATCGAGTAATATTTATGCTTATTAAGTTCTGTTTAAAATCTTCACCACGAGTGTGACACGTTATTATAAGACAAAGGGTTAAGGTACTGATCTTAATCTCAGGGACCAAAAAAAAGTATTAATGAGATATGACCCTCAGAGAAATTAACCCTTTGAGTGCCAAGGGAAATTTTCATGCATATTCGAGAAATGCCAGACAATGTTAAAAAAAGATGCATCATTATGAATAAAAAGTCATATTTGGATCAATTTTTATCTAAAGTTCATAAAATTACTACACAATACTAAAAACATGTTAGATTTCCTTTATTATTAATAAGATCAAAAAGAAACTTTTCCCAAGTTCATGAAGGAGCGATATATCGGCCCTCGGTACTCAAAGGGTTAATGAATGACTTTGATTAAAATAAATATTGACTTTTTTTTCTATTCCAATTGGTAAAAAAAATACATTAAGATAAATCGTAAATAAAACTTTTTTCTGTTTTTGAAAATTATATGATGCTATTATTGAGTCTTAAAGTGCATGTTGGACTCGAGAAGTTTTTTTCATCTTGGTAGTTAAGGGTTAAGCAGAATTTTCATGAAGTAGGAATCAGTTGGCAATGATCAAATTAATTTATTGATTTTTCTTCTGATCAGTAGACATTGTAAACAGGTTAGTAAATAGGCCACTTATTATAAAAGTGTAAATCGTTTTTTATCAAAATGTTTAAAGGTTCGCATTTCAATCGATTTCAAAATAATATTTAGTAAAGTCCAATGCTTTTATTCACATTTATGTGAATTAAAATATAAACAAATACATTCTGTAAATGACCTTTGTTTATATTAATATGCATTTAATAATTACTGGTAAAGTTAACTCGTATATTGAAAATTATAAAGTTTCCAGTTGTCTAAAACAGAAGCATATTGAAGCAGTTAAATGCAAAAGTCACTACTAAAATAAATGCATAGTTCACGTTTATTGGAATAGAGCCTTCACCATTTTGATCAGCTTTCTCTTTCGTTACGCTTAGATTACATTGTATTCAACATTGGATCTTGCAGATTTACAATATTCACAATTAGTTAGTTACTTTAATTAATTAATTACTTATAGAATAAGAAGTGTCATATACAAACTAATAATACATTCTACACAATTCCTTATTCCATTCAAACTGTATTTCACTTCTTGCAAGAATAATACAATTTCTGATAAATTCCAAATTCCTTTGCACAGATTCGATGCATCAAAACATGCAGTTCAGTGATTATTAAACAGTCATCTTATTAGCAATGAAATTCCCGTAAACGTAGCATTAAAATCAGCACAGCATGATTAGAAACGCCAGTCTTCCGCGTACACAATGTACTAGAGAGTTATGCTAAGTACCTACTTGAAGCATTTAACAGTCGCTGATTATTTAATAAGGCAGTTGGTAGCAGTATTTTTTTTTAAACAATGCCCTGAGAAAGTGAGATAACTAATGGGCGCAATTAGTTACTGCACTTGCGATTGTGAATGTGTTAAGAACGGGAAATTCGCTTAAACGCGATCTAATCAGTGTGTGTGCGTACATACATATCAGATGTATCAAGCGGTCTTATAAACCGATAAATGAGTATGACGCTACAAATATTCCATAAGAGGCAATAAACATTTTTATATAATTACTAGGTTGATGAGTTACACGTTTTATGAGAGTGAAACATTTTTTAAGTAGATTCACCTTTGCAATCTTATCTTTATTATCTAATTGAAACGTTTAAACCTTGGAACGTTTATGATACTGAACATTTATTAATAATTGTTATTTTATCTCCTTAATATTTATTTTATTTAATTACAAATTTGTGACGTTCATTTTAATAAATCGATATTGAAATTATATCTATGTTAATTTGTAAACTTCAGGAATCCGACTTCTCATACGAAATATTTTATTTTTAAATATTACGTTCATTCTTTTAAATTAAATCATTGGAAACCTGTATATCTGATTTGAAAGTAGGAAAAGTGTTATATAATAGAATAACAATTTATTTGCGACTTTATCTTCTAATTTAATTTATTATTAGTAGTCGGTTGTTGGATGATAATGTAGTTGTCAAACACAATAGATGAGTTATATATTCGCCTTCATTTTATCGCTATATTCGCATCGCATGATTTGGAAAAGGGAGGAGGATACTTATCTATATTTTCTTGACAGAACTAATTAATAATCCATTACTCATCGCTAATCGTCACACCCACCAAAATATAGCGACATGAGAAATGATTTTACACATATATATGTAGATTCCAGATCACCAGACGCTAGTTCTGATTTCGTCGCAAAATTCCCCGCATCGTTACATTATTTATGCAATACAAAGTCAATTATCTTATAACCATAAGGAATTGTTGGAAATATCACTGAAAAATAATTGTTTTCATTTGAATTTTTGTATTACCTTTTATAAAGACAATAATTTAAGTATCATTTTTTGCTTCCTTGAATTATAACTATTTTATAAACTGTTTCTTCACATTTCTGTGAATGTTCTGTGTAAAGCGAATGGATTTTAAAATGGCGCAGATGACTATAGCTCAAATTAAAATAATTTATACATAAACATAGTTAGTCTATAAACATTGTATTTATCAAACTATAGATAATTACAATTACAATCTTATTTAGCCTAATTATCTTCAATTCATTTAGACTGTTATAAATTTATATTTATATTGGTATGTTCTTAAATTATTTCTTTTTACACGAAAAACACATAATACTCCTTTAAACATCTCATACTTCACTACACATTTTATATATCACTCTTTAACTCTTTGCGGTAGAATGCTGTAATAATAGCGACTTTGAGCTACGATACCTAAACCCAAAAGCTTCAAATGAATAATCTAACTTTATTTTTTTCCAAAATATCGAAAGACACCTTTTATAATTTCAACTTGAAATTAGTTTCATAACTTCAATCACTTTCCCCCAATAGACTTTTCGATATTTCCTCCAATGATTATGAAATTAATTTGTCGGTATATATGTTTAGATTGTACTGCGTAATTTAATAGATTCCGTTCCATTACCTCTTACTAAAAATATACACAAAAGATCGACAGGAACAGTTTTAATTATTCAAATAAGATAGACTGATACGCAACTTCCCTATTCCCTGGTATTCGAGATTTCGATATAGTTACCCCCTTGCCTACAATATCGTGTCAAATTCGTGATGAAGATTTCAAATACAATTTAACAAATATAAATATTATTGAATTTGTTTCAATATAAATTACATATTATTCCTCTGTTATCAATGATTATACCGTAGAGTACACGTTGACATACAATAAGACTGGAATTTTCTCTTATTTTCAATAAATTATTGTTAACAAATATAAATATCACTTCATTCTTCCAAGTCTGAATTGAATATTATTTTTCTATTACTAATTGTAATGCTCTGAGTAAACATAGACATAGAACAAGTGTAGAATTTTCCTCTTTTTCTAACGAAATTATGAACAATAAATTATCTTTATCGTACGCAATTGGAAAAGAATCATAGGGCAAGAGGTTAACATTAGAACTACCGAGCATTTAATACTATTAACATGTGGTCCCTATAAAAATGGTAGCAATAGATTATTTTGTTTCTTCAGACATTCATTATAGCACTCAACTGAAACTATTTATTTTCAAGATCATTTCGAATACTTAATGCTTTTATCAGTAAAACACCATACCAGCCAAAATGACTGATTTCGGTTTTCCTGTTTCGCAATCATTAATACCTTAAAAGCATTGAATATTCGAAACGGTTTTAAAAATAAATGATTTCAAATACTACAATAAATGTCTGAAGAAACTGAAAATAATCTATAGTTACAATTTTTACAGGGATTACATATCAATCATATTAACTAATTAACTGTGAAATTTAGTCGTTATTGTTCATTATTACTCGTCAAATACGGGACGAATGCACCTACGGTATATTTTAATAACAGACCAAAGCAAAACAAAGAAGAATTACATGTTAATTTAAAAAAATAAAGAATTCATTGTTGAAAGAATTAGTATCAGGCTTTAAAATGACGCGTATTCTCGTCAAACATAGTTAACCGATGAAACGCTCGTTAGTTCTAGTGTTAAGATATCAACAATTGCGAAACAAACAAATAGAAACCAGTGATTTTCACTGGTACGGTAATTCTAGTACCCACTACAGGCTTCGCCGAAGTTCAAACAATTTCCAAACAATCCATAAAGGGTTTCGCTATTCCTCAACAGAGCAGTGCATCGGCACGTCCCTAAATTCTCGTACTCGTAACTCGATCGTGAAATTGACTCGCGTGCCCGCCGGTTCCGAGTTAACGGTCGCAAACGAGCTTCACAAAGGGAACTCGATCGTTAATCAGCGGATCCGTGAATGCGATCGGATTAAGGGGAATGATATTTCGTAGATCAGGAAGGGAGCGCCGGGATCCGCGCGAACGTCGAGAGAACGCGTCGCTATGGGTACCCAGCATTGTGGCCCGCGGGTGTAGTGCGAACGCGTAATCAAGAGGAAGCCCAGAGTGAAAGGGAGACGGGGGATCGACAGTTAAGAAAAACAGAGAGGGATAGAGGTCACCGGGGTAGGGGAAAAAGTGCCGCGAGCCAGGATAAGAAACGGACAGGCACGAACGGAGACCGGCGAGAAGGGAAGACAGAGAACGACCGTGGACAAGCGTGACCGGCGAGACTTCGAAAGGCTACTCTCTCGTGGCCGCAAGTGAGAACGGGGCCCAAGAGTGACCGAGACGGCGAGAATAATGCGGACTCGGTACTTCCGCCTTGATCAACAGGACGTTCGGGTCTACTCGTAGTAAGTAGAGAAAACTTGGATTTTCTTGGTGCGTGGATTTAGGGGATGTTTTCAAGGGTAACCGGAAAGACAGCGGACAGGAAAGAAACGCATATGAAAAATAGGCACAGAAAAATGGTGTATAATGATAAAATGATAAAAAATAATAATAAAATAAAATATTTATAATAATAAATGTCTAAATTTAAGAAAATAAAATAAGCATTAACCCTTTGCACTCGATTTATTTTCAATGTTGTTGGGTGCGAACTTGTATTTATTTTTAGGGAAATGAATGAAAGTAATTTACAGCGGTTGAATTCAACGTTTTATATTTATTTCATTTATTATTATTATAACAAGATTTAATTTTTATAATCTTTTGAAGTGTGGTATTTTTTGAAACAATTTCCAGAGTTCTATAACAAATTTGCATTATCATCTCCAGTATGATATACGACTGCAAAGGGTTCAGAAAACGCATATTTATGGAATAAGGCACATGTACGAGAACGCGCAAGAAAAGAGCGGACGTAGAAAATGCGCACATAGCGAAATGCGCGCATAGAGAAAAGCGCACAATGTAAAATACGCAGAGTTCATAACCCGTACATATATGAATTGTACAATTGTAAAACGATAGTGAGGAAGGAGTTCTACATATTTATTAAATTATTGCAAGAAATACTTCCTTACTTACTTAAACAAATTTGTAAAAATATCTAAACGAAGGGAAAGTCGAACGCTAGTCGTCTGCGTTTCGTCGATCGGTGCCTTTTTAAGGGAAAGCGTTCCCGAGTCTCGGGGTGCAATAAACAGACCGAGAGCCACGCTGATAAGGGTGGTCCTCCGACTAAACAGTGCTCTTCCCAGGGCACTCGTTCTGTAGACTTCCCGACGACAACATCGAAGTAAAAAGGTTCTATCTAACACAGTTTTCCAATATTATTTCAGTCCACAAATGCCTATTTCACAAATTATTTATTGTTTTGCAATTCTTCTTAAAATTCAGTAGTTTTCTAGTTTTTTAAATTAATTTTATCAATGTATTATAAGTATTAACGGCTGCTGCTACTGTGCATCCAGAAGAGATTTATTTAGATCATAAAAATCGGTATAGGTGATGCTAGTTTTTCGCGGAGTAGGGGTGCAGCCCACACTTTTCTTTACAATTGTATAATTCATATTTATACGTGTTATGCACTATGCGTATTATACATTGTGCGATTTCTCTCTGTTGTTTTCTTACATGTGCTCTTTTTTTATGTAACCGTTTTTAACCCTTCGTGGGCAAATGTCGCCGTAATGGCGACTTCGAGATTTGACAGTAAAGATTGAAAGATATAAATGAATAACTTTATCCTTAGCGGTTGACAATTTTATATCAACTCTTTGCTGACGAGACTGTTTTAAATTTCTGACATTTGTTTTAGAACTACCGTACCAGTGATGACTGGCTTCTGTTTTCTTTCTTTATTGATATTTCAAAAGCATTGAATATTTGAAATGATTTTGAAATAGTTTCACTCGAATTAATTCACTGTAATTAATGTCTGAGGAAACTGAAAATAATCTATTGTTACAATTTTTATAGGGTTTATCATATTAAATCGTATTGAATGCTCAGTAATTGTAGCGTGAAATGCTAAAAGAAAAGAAAGCCACATGTCAGTTCCCTGTTGGTTGAATAATTAAATTATTCATTTGTAATTTTCGATTTCAGATATCGCATTAATTATATTGCATTAGTCTCTAATTATGTACATATAATTAACAATTGAACATCTTTTCCTGTCTACAATAATGGACAGTAAATGAGGTATTTATAGCTACGTTGCTTTTAAATGTAACTTGAAGTTTACTGTACTCCTTGTAAATTTATTTGATGAGAAAAATAACTTAACAATAACTATTGAAATAATTTTTACATAAATGAGTATAGATTTCTTAATGTTAAGAGAGATATTTTAAATGTGTTATCATGTGGAAGATTAAGAGGAGGTCTTCGTTAAGGCTACGTACATAAGATTGTTACACTTTTGTTCACGCAATTATTATTGCGTTAGAAAGACTGATAACTGTATGGTTTCAGAAGGGCGTAATCCATTCTTCCTTTTGCAATTCCGAGAAACAATAATAACATTATCGTAATTCCAAGAACTATTACCTGAAATAACGTATCAAATTCTATCATACCTACTTATCGTAATCACGACATAAATCTTTTTCAACAGATTATCACTGTTATTGTTGTCCATACATTCAAAAGAAAAGTAAAATCATCCATAATAAATCAACTATACAGCATTAAAAGAATTTATCGACTTAAAACAATACTAATTTTTCTGAAAATGTGAATTCATCAATCAGAATTTAATCAGTCTTTTAGGACAAAGATAATGGAGCATATTTTAGTTAATAAATATTATTGTGACATATGTTCTTATTTCAAGTTGTAAAGACAACAATTTTTTATAGAATATTTCAATAATTTTTTAATTGCTTTTGATTTTCGATGTTGAAGAACAAATAAAAATCTAACAGGATTTGAAATAATATTATTGAGAAAGTAAAAACATAGTACATTAATTACAGTATTCTTGAATTTTTCTCAAATTTAAAAGTATCCTCAACAAGATTAAAACCTAACTAAATCAGTAACGACTAAAAAAGCATAATAGCGTTAAAGAATCGAAAGGGTGATTGGATCGAAGACCCGAAGGACCCAGTAGGGGTCGTTTCATTTTTCTTGCAGACAAATGGTTCATTCACGTGGAAACAGTAGATTCCCTAATGGCGTATTTCGCATCGTTAAAAATAGTTGATTGATTCAAGTGTAGTGTAAATATTTGATTATCCGATTGTTGTTCGATTCCCGATATCATTCGACTCTCGATTGTCGCGTGAATTACGAGGATGTAAAATGAGTTCACCGATGTTGCAATGAAAACTTGAAATCTCGACCTGGAAAGTGCATGGTGGACTGACCGCAAAGTTAACCGCGGATATCCTTCAAAGAAAGAAAACCGACCGGATCATAAACGGTCCCGATTTATTCAAGGACCGTTCCAGCAGGGTCTAGCCGGTCAATAGAAAGTACAATAGAGGTCGTAACAAGTCCTATAAACCGTTACCGTATGGCTCGTTCAGTCGGGCACCTACTTATGTCTTCTTCACGATCGATAGGGACGATTAAAGCACGCGAACTGCGCGATGACGCGTTGCTTGAAGACGCGATAAGCTTTTGGCTCGAATGATTAATCCGGTGAGTTGATTGGAATTTGAAGAAAGGTGAACTTAACACTAAAACCACCGAACAACTAGAGTGACTTATTTACAGTTTTTTATAAAACTTAGAACAATACGTTTATTGACATTTGAAGGGATTTCTGTCTGGAAAAATATGGAAATTTAACACTAGATTTAGATATTTATTGTACAGTTTATTCTATCGTTCCTAGAGCACCTGATGTTCGTTTGTTTAGATCTTGGAAGTTAGGAGTAGAAGAATGGATAATGAGGATACGTATTCGTGCAACAAAAATCGACGTAAACATTTCACAAATAATGTTTATAAAATTTAATGTAGTCAAATTGACGTATTCCATAAACTTAGTGTTAATTAAAAGTCTTTTGCGAAAACGCCTTCGCAATTTAAATATTTGCAAAATAAACATTCTGAAGTATGTCAATTTGAATTTGTAGTTTTAGTGTTAAGTTGGCTCGTACTCGGTCTATTAGCAGTAGGTTTAAGGAACGCAAACGTCTGATGCATATTGAATTTCATAAATGTTAGTGAATTATAATTATTTACGTCGATTTTGATTAATATAATTACACGGATATGTATTCTATGTCATTGTCTATTTTTAAACCTCTAATTTCCAAGATCTAAGTAAATGAACATCAATTTTTCTAAGGATAGTAGAATTAACTGTATAAATAATAGATTTCTCTAAATTTAGTGTTAAGGGAAATGCCATTTTTTCACGAAAATTATAGATTCTTTAGTAATTTTTGTGGAAAAGATAATCAATTTCTTTTAGTTGAAATTCTGCATGTTTTACTCAATAAAAAAATTTTTTTTTTCAATTGACGAGTATACATGTCACCTTAAAATTAAAATGATAGGAATTCTTTCAACGATAAATTATTTATTTTTTCAGATAAACATGTAATTCTTCTTCGTTTTGCGTTAGCTTTTCGTGAGAATATATCCCAGGTACATTTGGCCTGCGTTAGACGAGCAGACACTTCATTATTTGAATTCATTGCGAGCATTATCCAAGATTTCTGAAATTAAATTCCACAGTTAACAGGTTAACAATTTTAATGAATTCAGACCATCCCACTTGGAGTTACCCTATAATTTGTTGATGCTTTCTGTTACGAGAAAGGGTATTATCTAAATATACGCGTGTAAAGAGATCTGCAATGTGAGTTAATTGGTAGTACACAGATGACGGACAGGAACACGTGCAATTGTTCCATTCGACCCTGTGTTCGCGGTGCAAGCATTCTTATGCATTTCGATAACATTTGGAAACTGATTGTGAGGTGTAGCAATTCTCCGCGGAATTAGAGCACTCGGAATTTTGGAGTGTGTCGGGATTCAATGGAAAGAGGCGAAAGAGCACGTATTGATGTCAAGAATGCCATTTTCTATAGTCCCTTTGAAAACAGGGTTCTATGAATACGCAACCCTGCTTCAGCTTGCGAGAGAATTGCTGAAATACAAGAATGCCTCTAATTCGGAAACCGGGTCAAACAGTACGCACGTTTGAATGAACGTCTTTTTTTTTGCTTTTTTGTTATTCCCGCCTGCTAAGCGCAGCTGATAGTAAAAAGACAGACTTTCTAGGACAGGTCGGTGCGGCGAGGACTGTCGGGGAGTCTTCCAACTGACGGTTGACCGAGCTGCATCCACCTAACCTTATCGTTGTTAAAGGTGACTATAATTGCTCTTTGTTGAGCTACTTCTATGTCCTGCAGGCGACTATAGTTACCTATCGTCGTACGTT